TCCGCTTTTAGACTACAGCCAGGATAAAAGGAAATGGCATCAGGGAGGAAGTATGCTCATTTAGGCTCAGATCCCAGTGTGATAATGGAGTAATAATAGAAATCACGCCACTGTCAATCGGTTGCTGCATTAGTCCGAGGCGCATTTCCCCTCCAAGGAGGCTTTCAATGACTTCATTCAAGTGTAGGCTGAAGCAAACGGGATATTCAGCATACCAGCTGTACTACTTTAGTGATTTGTATCCTGGCTTAGGGGTGCAGCGCAAGCAGTGGTGCTGTGGATGTTCAAATGCATATATCTGTGTCACATTTCATGGCTGTGAAAGGTCAGTAGTCAAATGTTTCAATGACATTTTTCTAGTATAAATGGTGAATCTGGCATTTATTGCATTATTCTAACGGGGGAATTGACAAATAGTCTTTTTAGTGTGGGTGGTCTTCTGGGATGTGGGGCCGATGACCTTATAGCTACATTGAGAGAGCTTTGAAGAGGCAAGATTCATTGTCGTTTTTACAGGCTATGGGTGATGTTCAGAAAATTCATATTTTATTCCAAGATGCTTTGTGGAAACTTTTTAAAAACTGTTAAAAGTTCTGAGATTTACTTGTAGCACCATATCCTATTTGGAGCATCACTGAATTATAGTTTGCTGTGGATAAAATAAAAGATAGCTGTTTTCCCTTGTCCCCAGATGTTTAGTAAACATTGAATCTCAGTATTTAGAGCAGGAGTGCATTTGTAAGCTACTTCAGTGACAACCTACAGTTGTTGTTTTCTGGATGAATATTGTCCCTTTTTTCCCTCTTTGGTCTCTTTCAAATACAAAATCAGTTTTGGTGTGCCACATCTTTTCAAAATTGTGTTTCAAAGTTAAAGGTCTAATTGTACAAACTTAAAAGCCACTGTACCAGTCCACGAACAAGAAGCAATGTCTAATACACTCTATCTGAAAAGAAAAGAAAAGAAAAAGTATTCAGTATCTTGGTAGAGGTAGTACAGACAGCAACTTCAAAAGCAAGACCAGCAAAATAAGATTCACAGTATTGGGAAAATGACCTTCTAGCTGGGATATTGTTTAATTGTGTGGAACATTACAAAAAAGCTCCGGTGTGCTTGATCACAACATATTAATTCATTCCCTTTTTGTAGTATTTGTACAGTGAAGTACAAAAAGCCCTGGGAAAGTAACTTGATTTCTAAGGGGTTTGGGGGCGGGGGGTTGGGACTAGAACTATCTGCTTTAAAATATATGTACATGACATTGTATCTGTCATCGCCATACTATCACTACATCAACTGGTAGCATTAGATGCATGTTGTAAATAGTGTTTTAATTCTAAACACATTTTCTGGCGTAAGATTTCTCCTTTAACAATCACATCAAACTGAGCATTTTTGTGTGACATATATTCCCTTATTTGTCAGAGAATGTTTGCTTTTTAATGCAAAAAACTGTTTTTATTTTTTCCAGGTAGAAATAGACAGTGGCACTGTAAAATTTGCCTTCCCATACTTTATTGTTGCTATATCGTATATTTCTACTAAACATTATGTACTCAACATACAATCAGAGAATTCGATTTCTCAGAAGTTAAAATGCTTTTCTGGTACTTATAGTGCAATTTGTTACTATTGTTATTTAACATTTATATTGTGTTAGCACCAAGAAGCCAGCCAGGCCAGGGTCCCATTGTTCCAGGTGCTGTACAAGCATATGGAAAATGACAGTCCCTGTCCCACACAAGACACAACAGGTGGATGAGACAAACATCGGGGTCAGGTTTGGGGATGGGGGAGACAAGGTAACAAACGATAATAGGATGTTTGCAGTTGATCAGACATCTATATATTTATTTACCAAGTTTGAGGTTTTCTTAAATTATAAAAAGGTCTTTAAAACAAAAAAGAGAGAAAATAGTTGCTTTACAAAACCATTCCATCTGGGAAAAACAAGGAATCTATACACAAATGGGGATTTTTGTAATAGTCTTTGCAATGAAGCTTTGTGGAGCTTTCCTCATCTTGATGCAAGCTACATGTCATGTTAGGGAGAGTCCTTTTATTAAGGGGGAAAAAAAACCTGAGGGAATAGGATTGTGCTCCCAGCATTTTAGTTAAAATGAATAAGAAAGGACAAAATGTTATAGCTGTGCCCACTTAGTGCCACTTTAGTTGGGTCTGTCAGCATTTCCTCCATTAATGCCTCTACCTGCTGCGCCAAACTCTCTGTTCAGTAGCTCATAACGTGGCCTTAAATTATGCTGTGAGCTGTAACCTGGCATACAGGGTCCCATCCCAGGGACTTAGAACGTTGGGAAACGAAGAAGTTACAAGTTTCAGTTGTTTTTTTCTGTGTGCTCAAATGTAATATAAATTTTAAACTGTAATTCTCAAAGTGCAGCACAGCACTAGACACAGTGAAGTAAATTAAGGACATGATTATTGCCTTACCTCTGAATTTCATTGCTTCTGTTGGCCTAAATCAGATTCCCCAACATTATTTTAAATAAGAGCACTTTGTGTGTGAATTCATATTACAGAGATGGTGAAGAACCTTGAAAAATAAAACCAAACCACAACTACCTGCAGTTTCTAAAAACTAAGGGTGGCTGTATTATCCTACTGTTTAGCAGAGAAAGCTTTCTAAATAAGCACATGGTGTTCTGCAGCATTTCAGATTTTATTAGCATTCAAAATAAATTCAGTTTCCAAGCAGAGCCAATTCCCAGACATCTTTCCTGTCTATCGTGTCGTCCCCCCTCTTAGCCTCCCTCTCCCCCCCGCCACTTGAAGCAGCTGCTCTTGGACTAAACAATAAACATTTGAGTTGGCATTTTAGTGGGTGACTTTAAATTGAAATATTAATCATATTTATTTTCATTTATTAGTATTTTTAACTTTTCAGTTTTCCTTGCAGTTGGCAGGTTTGAGTGTTACTTTGAAAATCTTCCAATTAGAACAAGTGAGTAGGTTGTGGCTTTTTTCAAACTCCAAGAATACAGCTTTAATAATAAAAGAATGCATTGTAAGGAAAAACAAATTGTTAAAATGCTAGTGATTTATGTCCCTTCTTATTAGCATCTGATTTATGTGCTAATGCCAAGCGATGTCAGTCGGAGAGTGAAGATAATGTCTCATTGCTTGTTTAGCTGGTGATATCTGCCAAAGCTTTACAGGTTAAGATTTGAGCAGAAAATTCTCGATTGCTTCATGGTCTTTGAGCAGAAAATTCTCGATTGCTTCATGGTCTTGTTGCCAGAGTGCTGCTTTTTGGCATGCAAGGGGCTGTCATTAAAATAAAGAAACATTTAGGAATTCTCTGATACATGTATCCCTCCAGGGGGTCCAAAGCAAAGTGAGAGGGAACCTTTTTTCATCTCAGGCTAATTGTAAGCTAAGGGTTTGTGTAGTCCAAGCAGTCAACCTTGGCTGCAGTGTCTTTCGTGAGAAGAAGAAGATGAAAGTAATATTCTTTATGTCTGCCTTTGGCTGGCACCAAGAAGGCAGGGTGGAGTGGTGGGCAGCGCAGCAGGAGGAGAAGGCCTTAGATGGAAAGGGAGACCCTCACAGGGCTCCAGAATGTGACCTCAAATTGGAACAAAAGTGGAATTAGGGTGGAAGCAGTATGATTTTGTTCTTTAATAATCTGCAAAATGTTAGAACTGAGTAATGCTGGGTTTGTATTTTGCATGCAAGAATGTAAGTTGATAATGTGTTTTGTTTTGTTTTCCTTTTGGTGTCCCAGAATGGAGAAAGTAAGTGTGTGTGTGTGTGTGTGTGTTAGCGTGACCAGATGTCCCGATTTTATAGGGACAGTCCCGATTTTGGGGTCTTTTTCTTATAAAGGCTCCTATCACCCCCCACCCTCGTCCCGATTTTTCACACTTGCTGACTGGTCACCCTAGTGTGTGTGGAGGGTGGGGGGAAGCATTTGAGTGAATAAGGAACCTGTGATAGGACTTTCAAAACCCTGAATTACCAGTGTGTTTCCTGGCAGCTAGTGTGTATTCTTACTTTGTGCTTTCCGTGAATTATTTATTTGTTCATTCGATAAGCCTATTAAATGAAGCACTTAAGCACTCACTACATCAGGCGTCTTGCGCTTTTTCTCTTCAGGCTACCAGTGGTTCATCTAAAAAATGTTAGGTTTTGGAATCAGGAACAACTGCTAAATATATATACACAATAGGCGCATAGACATTATATCTTTCCCTTCTTTTTGGTATGAGAATGGATAACTTATGACTCTTTGCACTAGAAATGTGCTGTCACAGTCTTAATTTTGCTGCATGCCACTTATTTATATCACGTTTCTTTGTACACTGCAGGAATACAGTGAAATTGTTTATATAATAAATCAATAGACCCCTGATGTAGTTAAACATTCATATGTCTGGTGGCCTCCTGAAGTGATGCACTATAAATTATCCTTTTGTTTCTACCCCCACCAAGCCTCAACAAAATGAAATTACTTAGCATATGTATTCCATAAAGAACAGAGCCTATTAATCCAAGATAATGTTTGAATAAGAAAACATGATTTTGATCTGATCTAAATATAGAAATGAAAAGCCATGGAAAATGAGTCTTAACTAGGCCCCAGAACAGAGTCTTTCAAAATACAGACAACATGAACTGTGAGGTTTTCCTGAAATCAACTAGCTCTTCATCAACTAGGTCAACATTTCAAACACATGCTAGAATTACACAAGTATCAGGGGGTAGTCGTGTTAGTCTGTATCCACAAAAACAACAAGGAGTTCGGTGGCACCTTATAGACTAACAGATTTATTTGGGCAAAAGCTCTTGTGGGTAAAAGACCACTTCTACCCATGAAAGCTTATGCCCAAATAAATCTGTTAGTCTTTAAGGTGCCACCGGACTCCCTGTTGTTTTTGTAGAATTACACAGGTTATCCTAGCCTTGTTGTCTTTGCTCTGTCAGTTTCATTGCTTAGTAAGCAGAGTTTTATTCTGACGATACATGTATTTTACTCTTAGCTTCTCCCGGACCAGCTGGTCTTACTTCTGGAATCTCTGTTGGAGGAGAAGACGTTATGTCTCAGAACTCTGCAGTGCTTAGAGAAAACATACCACCTTGATGAGCAGGATGCAGAGGTAATTCATTAACAGTCCCACTGCAATATTAAACAGAGTCATTGTGCTATTGACTAGGAATATTGACATTCCATTAGGACCCAGGGCTATTCAAGCTCCTTTTTGCATTAGAGAATTCTAAAATTGTGTGTATATGTACTACCGAAGAAGCAACAGGTACAGTATGCCTGCCTTACTCTGTATTTCCTGAGTGAATGTGTGTGATATTAGCGTATACTGTGTATATGCTCATATGTTTGCATACTATAGTTAGACTATCTAAAATAATTAGTACAGCCAGTTTGCATAGCCTCCACTATGTGTGTATATGTGAACAGTACATGTGCCTTTAAGAGATATGCGTGCACACACGTTAAAACTCCTTACTTCATATATACATATTGTATATATGGAACTTGTATGGTTTTGATAAGGTGTCACCTCAGAATTTGGTCTAAATTTCTTGTTCCACTTGATCAGCTCATTGTTTGCCTTTAGCTAGCACTCAGGCCTCACTTATATAATATAAAATTGTATTTTTATGAGAGAGTAAAATTATTTCTGTGTTCATGGGATATGAGTTCCAAGGAGCAACTAGATCTTTACAGCTGCATCCATTAATTGCAGTATGTGTTTAACAGTCATGGGAGAAATTATTATTTACATGATGATATAGATGTGCTCCAAGGGCTTGCAAACTTAGGGGCCTGATCCTGCAAAGACTTACTACCGGGCATAGTGTTAACTGTGGGGTCAGCGATCACTTAGTGCTTAAGGTTTTTGCAAGAGCTGTGCTTTATTCTGTGTCCAGTTTCAACTGGCTCTGCATAATAAGATGTTCACAGTGCCTCGCCCAGACACTCTGTCTGGGAACCACAGCCATTAAAGCACAATTCCCATACCATATCTTCCCTTTTGATCCAAAACTTAATAACACTTACTACTACTGTACAATATCCCAGTGACTTATCAGGCTGAGAGAATTTAAGTCAATGGGACTGCTCATGGTAGTAAGCAGTATTCACAGTAGTAAATGTTTGCAGGCTCTGGACCCCAAGTAGACAGTGTTCAGAGAAAGGACATTTGGGAGAAGATGGAGGAAATGAAACCAATCCAGGAAATATGCATTGTGTAGATGCTGGTTAGATGTTCATAAACAAAAAATGGTTAGTTATTGAGGCGAATATATTCATACCAGTATAATGAAGGAGCACTGTTGAACTTAAGATATTTGACTCCTATTTAATTAAAAACTACTGTGAGCACCACAGATGGTCACTGTGCATGGTTTATCATGTATAATTGAAATTTTATGTTAGTAATTAAAATGGAAGGAAAGAGTGAAATCTGGCTCATGTTTGTTACAATAAAACGGCTAGGTAGAAATTGTAGTATGTTTTAGAGCCCTGCATAAATCCAAACATTAATTTAAAAACTCCAAACTGCAGTCTAGCCTTTTTCAAAAGAACTTTGCCAGGTGACATTTCAACTGTTGCTATTTATTTCAGCTTTTTATTTTTTGTTTATCAGAGTTTCCAAGTGCCAGACTTATTTTTAATTAGTATTCAAACAGACTTTTCTATTTATAGGAATTAGGATATATTTTAATCACAGATGAATGCCAATGAAATGTCAGGAGTTCTATAATGGGAAGAGGAATAACTAGGGAGGTAGGATCAAAGCGGGAGCTCTAGTGTTTCTATTTCATGCCAGTGAATTGTGAGCTACTAGACCTTGGATTTAGGGTTGTTTTGATTGTTTGTTTTTCCTCCTTAAACTACATAAATTCAAGGGGGTTGGGGTTTTTTGGTAGTTTTACTTAACTGCACACCAGTGATCTTTCATGTTTTTTCTCTCTTTGCAACAAAATTATGACCTCAACAAAAGAAGCATAATCTCTGTTTTATTATACAAGGTGAAACCAAGGGCTTAACAGACCTTTAAGAAGTACAACTAAGATAACATTACCATTAGAGTTTTACCAGTCATCAGATCAGAGACACGTACAGTCCTTTAAAGGGAATGTTAGTTAACACACTGTCACATACCTAAGGAAGGGACCTTTCGTGTTTCAAACTACAGTAAGTGCAGAGCAGAGTTTCTTTATAAAGACACTGGGACATGGAATTGCAGGATTCCAATCCAAGCTTTTAGCTGAGCTGTTCGTGTCTAAGTTTGATTAGCTGGGACATTAATCTGTTATAGTTAAACCTACATACAGGATCTCAAATACTTTTATTAACAAAACTTCAAAATGTGAGTAGTAGAAATGTAAGCATTCAAAATCGAAGGCATAGAAGTAAAATGAAAGCTGTGAGTGTCACAGTTTTTATTAAGGATCTTTTTTGTATGTAGAACATTGTCATTTCCTGGCTAGCAGCAGACAGCTCAGTAAAGTACACTAACTTCTTCATTATTAAGAAGTAATTATTTCCAGTTACATTAATTCTTATGCTGGAGATTAGCCATGATCAGACCAACAGTGTGCTAAACTGGTATAATTCTTTAAAACTGGCATGGCACATGGATCCTACTATTAGCAGAAATTGTCAATGGAATATCCAGTACACCTTTCTTAGTACTGTAGGTAGAAAAGTGACCTCACTCTGGTAACAGAAGGAATATAAAAATATTAATTTCTCCTGCTAATAAACTAAAGCCATGTCTACACTTACAAGTTTGCAGCGGCACAGCTGTACTAATACAGTGCTGCGCCGCTGTAAGAGTGCTCATATAGCCATGTTATGCTTATGGGAGAGAGCTCTCCCGTTGACATAATAAAACCAGCTTAATGAGCGCCGGTAGCAGTTTCGGCAGGAGAGCGTCTCCCACCGACACAGCACTGTATACACAAGCGCTTATGCGAGCAAAATTTGTATCACTCAGGGGTGTGTGTTTTTTTTCACATCCCTGAGCGACAAAAGTTTTGCCGACATAAGTGCTAGTGTATACATGGCCTTAGTGTGTATGTGTGTATCCATTTCAGATTTTGTATTGCTAATTTTGGGGGAGGCAAGGAGTCTAAATAATCTCACCTCAGGGCTGGTCCACACTAACCCCTCAGTTCGAACTAAGATACGCAACTTCAGCTACATGAATAACGTAGCTGAAGTCGAAGTATCTTAGTTCGAACTACAAGGTACTTACCGCGGGTCCACACGCGGCAGGCAGGCTCCCCTGTCGACTCCGCGTACTCCTGTCGTGGAGCAGGAGTACCGGTGTCGACGGCGAGCACTTCCGGGATCGATTTATCGCGTCTAGACAAGACGCGATAAATCGATCCCAGAAGATCGATTGCTTACCGACGAACCCGGAGGTAAGTATAGACGTACCCTCAGTCAGCTGTGTGGGTAAGGAGGAGAACAGAGAAGACAAAATGCCTCTGGCAGCTTTCATCACTTTGGGCAGATTGAGAAAAGACACATTTTTCTCAGTCTCTCACTCTCTCTCTCTCTTTTTTTTTTTTTTTTTAAGACTTTGGTATCTTTATAGATTGCTGCTTTGATACTTTAGCACAGCAGCATCAACATAACACTGAAACCAGTACAGAAGCAGAAAGGGAATATATTGTACAATAAGGTCTCGAGTGCAGTATGTATGGAGATTGGGTATGCATGTATTAAGCCTGTTTTGGCCCTGAACTACTCTGTAGCTCACTCACATGTATGATACAGATTTCCCTGTCATATATCTCACTGGAGATGTAAGTCTCTTTTCTGAATTTCAGAAACACTGCAGGTGAACTGATGATTATTGCTCAGCTTTTCACCATATCTGAGTACAGTGCAGACCATTCCTTCCAGCTTCTGTTTCTTGAAGCCTTTATACACATTTGTGAAGCATTAACCTTTCTCTTTCCAGTTGAACATGCTTTCTGTTCCAGCCAATGTTTCTCTTCTAAACATACCTGCACTTGCACACTGCACTGTATGGAATCAGAGACGTGTGGGACTGGAAGGGACCTCAATCCAGTCCAGTCCCCTGCACTCAAGGTGGGACTAAGTAATAACTTGACCATGCCTGACAGGTGTTTCTCTAACCTATTGTTAAAACCCTCCAGTATTATGTCTAGGTATGTTCCTGTGAGATACAAACTGCTATGAAATGGGTCATTCCCTTGTGCAGTACTGTTCTCACCTCCCCACTGTGCAGCACTTGGGTGTCCGGGGTTTTCAGCCTTAGGGTCAAACATGATTTCAAAAGGACCAAGGGGCCAGAATCAGTACTTGGGGGCAGATTATCTGCCTTGTTCTGTTCCCTTTTGTGCCACTTGGGCAACTCAAAAGGAGCAGGTGCCACCCACAAGTCCCATACGCCAGGAAATCCCCAGCAGGGAAAGTCCGCATGTGACACGGAGCTAACGTAACTGGCTCCTATATCTCCCTCCTTACAGCTTCTCATGGGACACATTGGGGGTAGGAAATGGCTATGCTGGAGTGAACTGTACTTCAGTTATCTCCAGCTTGTTTATAGTCCCTAAGGGACTGTAGCTGTTTGGCAACAGCTAGAGCAAGACCTGGGCTGCACTAAACTGTGCTGGGGCAGAATATCGAGGAAGCTGTAAGTAGTTGATAGTTCTCAGCTTCTCTCCCCCCCCCCCCCCCGCATGTCTGTGTAGCAGAGGGGAGCCAGCCTTTGCAAGGCACTCTGCTAGACTCAGCAGAACCAGCCAAGCTCCTGCCTTGCTCTCACTGGGGCTGCCACAGCCCAGTTGGTAAGCAAGCAACAGAGCTACCAGAGCTACACTCCTCCCTACTGGAGCAGGAGGGTGCTGAGCAGCTGCAACAGGAAAGAGAAAACAGCTGCTCAGAGTACTCCCAGCTCACATGGAGCTGTTCCAGAGGCTGCAGGGGCAACTGTGGGAGGCAGCGCCCCTTACCTGCTCCACACAGGAATGGGCTGATTTAAACACCAATTAGGGAATATGTTGTCATTTCATAATTAAATATGTATAACACAATTGCCCTTGGCTGCCATTGTTGGACACTGTCTCCAGGGCCAGATGTGGGACACCGCTGGTC